TTATTATTCTAATTTTAAATAACTTTTTTATTTACTACATTAGTTTTCTTAATATAATATATAAGTATGATATTGAACATATAAAACAAGAAATATTTTAATTATATAATATTTAATATGTAAGAAATGTAACTCAATTGGTAAGTTAATAGGTAATCTTGAGATAAAATAATGAGTGATTCTGAAAAAAAAAATTATAGGAACTAAAATGTTCACGTGTTTAATATATTTTTAATAGAAAAATTGTAAACACAATTACTCAATAAATACTACATAAAAAATAATGTTTGAGAGGACTACAAAAAATTTGCTATACTGCAATGAAAAATTCAACGGTAAGGTATGCTACTGAAAATTTCAACGAATATGTTGCTTTCATTGGTTATTTCAATAGAGTTCAAATTAAATTACATGAATTTTAGTGGATGTAAACATTTCAATTACCTGAATTTCTATTGGAATTTATTTTTTGGACCATATTTTCGTTGAAAAAATTGTTATTGGTATTGTGCAAAAATTCAATAGAAGTTCCATTAGAAAGATAATTGCAGTGATAGATCCAAAATAATTTCATATTGGGAGCATTATTTAGTTAATAGATAAAAAATATACCATCAAAATAACATGTCATTGCAATTTATAAATTATACTTTACATAATCTATCACCTTTCTAATTTGTAATACATTTTAATAAATCTATGCAATCACAATAAGGTAAAATATATTTAAGAAACCAAAAATCAAGATTTTTCTAAAATCAACATAAGAAAATCGTTACATTTGTTGTAATTTTTGTTGGAATTTTCTCATTTTCTTGTAGTAAAACTAAGACTTCAAATCTATAAAAAAAATGCATTATATATAATACTGTATGCAACTATTATTATGAAATTTTTGATACGATAGAAAATATAACACATTCAATGTAATTGACGTTCAATTTATGATAAGAATTAATTTTTTTCAAAGCAAACAAGATACTTTGAAAGGTCCTTAATTATTTTATTAGTATTGTAATAACTAAATAAGGGGTAAGAAAGATGACAAAACTTATAACTCTCATTAAATCCAAAAGTAAAAATGTTGATAAAATTACTTAATGTACAATATCAATTGGAGCTGGCTAATGATAAATATAAAACATACTTAAGATACACATATATTTTAATTAGAACTTTTAAGTACATAATATATATATATATATATATATATATATATATATATATATATATATATTCACATGTATATTTCTTTAAAAGTGGGTATGTTAATCTTAAAATTTTTTAGTTAAGATTTTTATTACTTTCTATCATTAAATTTTTTAATTTTCAAATACTTCATATTTTTTATTTGTTACCTTTTTATATGTAATATATCACATCATTTATTTTCAATGATGTTTGAGTTGACCCATATATTGCAATAAAATAAAAATAACATAATTATTTATATTGATATAAAATAATATGTATATATATCAGTACTAATTTAAAAGAGTAAAATGCATTTTTCGTCCTGTATGTTTACCCCTCTAAACATTTTAGTCCTCTTCGAATTACGTTTTTGATTTTCGTCCCGTATGTTTGAAAAAAGGTTACAAAAAGGTCTTTTTCATACATAACGGATGAAATTGGAACACCTTATTGCAAAACATAAAGGACCTTTTTATTGCGAAAAGGACCTTTTTGTAACCTTTTTTCAAACATACGGGACGAAAATAAAAAACGCAATTCGAAGAGGACTAAAATGTTTAGAGGGGTAAACATACAGGACGAAAAATGTATTTTACTCAATTTAAAATAATAAATTAGTCTTAAAGTATATAATATAATAAATTTTATATTCAAGTTAAATCAATTTTATTAAGTATAAAATAACATCGGACTTGTGGTATGTTTTCCATACATAAATTTGAAACAATTCATATTAAAAAAAAAGTAAAAAAATGGGTGTAAACTTCTAACTGTTCCCACGTTTTGGCTAGAGCGTCCAAATCCGATATATGTTTGACACGAGTTTGTCGTAATGCTGAAACTATGGCAAATGCACTTTAGGGTACAAACAAAGCGAAGCAATGTGAAGTCATAGATAAAAGGAAAGGCTAGGCTAGAGTAAGGAAATGAAATAACATTAGCTATGTGAAGTCAATTACTGCTGCAAAATGAACCCTATAATGGTGGTACCATATATGTATTCAGTGATTATGAAAATGACTTAGTTAATTAATATTTTATCAAACATTGGAAAAAATTCTAAAACTTTTTAATCCAATAATTCGTATAAAAAGTACAATTTTATCAAATATATTAAATTACATTTGATCTTATGTGATTATATTAATTGTAGCCTAATAAATAAGATAATTTGATACCAACATTATATAAAACACATACAAAAAATAACATAATACGTATAAATGTGCTTTAGTTACTTAGCAAATAAGATATTATTTGTCTACAGAATAAGAAACAAATAATATAATAGTAATGCAATGAGAAAAAGAAAACATGCTAATTTTCTTAGAAAAGTATAAATATCAATATTTACAAACAAAAAGTCTTTTAAAATTACAACTTTTTTGTTGCTAGCGTTTAAATATATGAACTCTGTAAAAAATTGGTTCTCATAAATAATGATCATATATTATTTATTTTCAATTTTAAATAATTAAAAAATCTAAAAATTTGTATACATGATGTATATTTTAATCATGACTCCATAACAATAAACTTTACAAATGACTAAAAGTATCGTCATATAATGGAATTCTAATTCTTCTGTTGTCAAATATTTTAACAAATGATATGCTTCTCAATATTTTCTCATTGTTTTGTTTTATCATTGCAAAAAATAGATTATATTGTTCGTCTATATTCTAGATAAATAACACTGAAAATGAAATGTAGGAGTACCAAAACAGTTTTGAATGTTAGGATTTTTTTTTCGAAACGATAGATGCATTAATAAAACACATAATTACAGTCGGCTAACTAGCCGGAATAGGAGGACTACTCAAGGTAGCCTAGATACCACAACACACGCTACAAGACCAAAAAACAAAATAAAACACTCCCAACAGGAGAATAACACACTCTCCCAAATGGGAGAATAACACAAATTCCCAACAGGATAATAACTGAATGTTAGGATTAAGTTGTCACTTTTTGTAGAAATATTTATAATCTCATTGGTTTATTGTGCTTGAACATATGTGCAATTACTTTAGAGGTACTTTCAGGTAATGTATGATGATTTCAAAAAATAATTTAGCACCTCGGGAGAAGTACATGTAACCAAGATTATGGAAAGTCAACTTTTATTTGGAGATAAAATTCATTCCCACCTCGTGGGGCGATGCATCAATGAGGTAGACACCAATATATCTAGAGGTAGATGAATGTAGTAGTTTATACAGTGATTATAAATTCAGCAATTTTAGTGACACCGTTAGTTATTTCATAGAGATATTTATCCTTTGTTAGTAGAAGTACCTTGTTATAAAGATCATATGATCATGAAGTTTGACTATATGTTGGGTCAGATGTTTCTTAAGTGTTTGAATAAAATTGGCGTTTTGTCAAATTAATTAAGATGAATTTTGCAATAGTATTGATGTATTGGACTCCAACGACTATGAATGTTCTTATGAGAACGTTAAAACTAAAATGAAAGAAAATCTTTGTGTTTTTTTTTATTAGGAATTTTATTTTTTATATATATTTTTGTTGGAGTTTGTAAAACGTTATTTCACTATTTTATATGAGGACATCATTATGTTAATTCTAAATAAAAAAAATCACATATGAGTTCATTTTTTCTATATTTTACTTAATTTATACAATGATATGTTTAATAAATAAATTAATTTATTTTACAAACTTACTCCGCGAAAATCATTCGACACCACGTGCATCGCACGTGCAATTTACTAATGTAATTGAAAAGGAACAAATTATGATTGGACATTTTGTCTCGTCACATGGAAATAACACCAACCGTTAACTTCATCGTCTGCCGTTCAAATCAAGCTGCATTTATCCCATTATCATTCCCCAAAAACAAGGTTTCCTCTGTTTTTTTTCTCCCGTTGTAATAAAGATTTGGTGCACGCCCACCGTGAATCTCTCTCCAACTCCGAAAAAAAAAAATAAAAATAGAAATGGCGAGTTTCGCATCAGCAGATTTATCTCTTTCAGATGGAAAGCTGACAGTTTCCGGCAACTACATTTTAACAGATATTCGCGATAATGTTTTACTAAACCCAGCAAAAGACAATCAAGGCAGCTTCATCGGTGTTAAATCGGATCAATATGGTAGCCGCCTGGTTTTCCCAATTGGAAAGCTCAGGTAATTATTTTTTTCTCTATTTTTTTCCCCAATTTTATCTTGCTCTGAACAAAGCAACTATTAGTACGGATGATGCAAATTTTATTCCGGCTTTGGGCACTTGTAGGGGATTGAGATTTTTGTGCCTTTATCGGTTCAAGTTATGGTGGATGACTCAGAGGATGGGGACATGTGGCCAGGATATACCCTGTGAGACCCAGTTTCTAATGGTGGAGGTGTTCGAGGGTTCACCATCTGGTGAAGAGGATGAACGACAACCTCAATCACCTTGTTATGCTGTATTCTTGCCGATTATCGAGGGCGATTTCAGGGCTGCGCTTCAGGGAAATGTTGATGATGAGCTGGAAATCTGCTTCGAGAGTGGTACTTAGAATTTTGATGTGCATTCATGTTCATGTTTTACTTCAAAAGAAAAAAAGAAAGAAGAAAGTTGATTTAGGTGTGGAGTTGGAATTGGTAAGAAGATGGAGATGAATTTGCAATTTACAGGTGATCCTGCTGTGCAAGAATATGAAGGGAGATATGTGGTTTATGTGGCAGCTGGGAATGATCCATATAGCTTAATCGAATACTCGGTCAAGTATGTATGTATCGGTTTTAGTTAGCCTTTGTAACACGAAAACCCGTGATTCACATAAGGTTGCGTTTTGGATTTAGTGCTAGTGAAGTAGTACCATGTAAGCTCCTTCAATTATTCATATACATAATAATCAGATTAGTCTTTTTACCAGCTGAGCTTGAAAACATCATTCAGAAAGGGCTTTTCTGCTATGTCAATTATGCCGTTTCTTGTATGAGAAATTTGTAAAACTTATCTCAGTTTAATTGCAGATTCAAGTAATAAGCAGTGAGCCGGTAGTCAATTCACAGCTTGGCACAACTCTTGATTATTGATCATATGTTTTCTTGGCTATGCAGAGGTATAATAAACTCATTTGGGTACTGAGATGAAAATGCTTAAACAGGTATCTAGAGACTCATTTACAGACATTTAGCCATCGTGATAGAAGAGAGGTAAAAAATAGTATCCGAAGAGTGTCTTTAGCCATAGCAAGAATTTTGGCCTTGTGTGATTTTTTACTCTTTATCCTCATTTAGATGCCGGATATGCTCAACTGGTTTGGGTGGTGCACTTGGGATGCTTTCTACACTGATGTCTCAGCTGAGGGAGTTAAGGAAGGACTAAAAAGGTGTTTCTTTTTAAAATCGATCACGTTCCCTTTGAAATCCGTAGATAAATTAAGATATCAATCAATTTTAAAAGCACCATATTATTTTCATGTTTCCTTTTTCAGTTTGAAGGAAGGTGGAGCTCCTCCGAAATTCCGCATCATTGATGACGGATGGCAAACAGTTGGCATGGACTCAATTGGTACAAAAGCAAAACTTGAGGACACGGCCAAGTAAGCAACTGAACATTAAATGTTTGTAGTTATCTTTCTGATTTAACTGATACTATATTATTCTGGCAAAAAATGTTGCTTGCATTTTTCAATTTTCGGAATCAGTTTGGCAGATCGTTTAACTCATATAAGAGAAAATCACAAGTTCCAAAACTACGGTACAAGTGGCGACACGGGATTACACCAATTTATCTCCAACATCAAAGATGAATTCTCTCTCAAGTACAAAAATCTCATACTAAAAATATAAAACCCATATTTCCTTTCTTCTTTTCTCCCCATAATAAGTAATAACATGCATTCTCCCTCCAAATTCGCAGGTACGTCTATATGTGGCACGCCATAGTTGGGTACTGGGGCGGTGTCCAACCGGGTATAGTACAAATGGATCAGTACAAGCCCGAGATTGTAAATGTAGTCCCTCCCTTGGGGGTCGTATCAAATGGCATCTGCTTTGTCTTAAAGAGCCTCATGAAGAACAAGGTTGGCCTTGTGAACCCAGAGAAAATCCAAGCCTTCTACAATGATCTGCATGGCTACCTTGCTTCGGCAGGCGTTGATGGGGTCAAGGTTGACAATCAGAGCATACTGGAAGCTCTCGGGTCAGGATTCGGCGGACGTGTGAAACTTGCGAGAAAGTACCATGAATCATTGGAGGCGTCTGTTTCTAGAAACTTCAAGAACAATGGGATTATTGCTTGCATGAGTCATGCCACAGACGCTTTGTACAAGTACGAAGTCGTTCCCTGGTTAAACATGACTGGGGCTGGTTTGTTCTGATTTGATTTATATTTATTTTTGGTTCAGTACAACGAAATCTGGTGTTGTTAGAGCATCGGATGATTTCTTTCCGAGAGATCCAGCATCACACACAATCCATGTGGCATCAGTTGCTTACAACACCATTTTTCTTGGGGAGTTCATGCAGCCCGATTGGGACATGTTTCATGTGAGTTTAAATTTCATTTTGTTAAACTCTTTTTCTTTTTTCCTAAGGTTAATGGCTTATCTGTCTTGGTTCAACGGAAAGTATATTGCTGGAGTTTCCATTCTTTGACTAGATCAAGCTGTCCTGAGGTAATTTGTTCTCATTGCTTTGTTTTTTGAGTGATTTAGAGCTTGCATCCCATGGCTGAATACCACGGGGCTGCTCGTGCTGTTGGAGGCTGTGCGATCTATGTCAGGTTCTCTCTTTTCTTTCTGGCATAGTTATGAAGGCTACCCATACAGTTGGAGTTTTTACAAAACTTTCTAACAAAAGAGTTTTCAAAAGAAAACTGTGGTTTGGTTATAGCAATTTAAGAGGTAACTGCAGTACTTCCATATACATAATTGATGGGTTTTTTCAATTTTTTGTCTCCTCATGGATGGAAGACAAAATTAATCTTCAATGGTTATTTTTAACTTCAAAGCTTCTGTGGGTTTTTTCACATTGAAGGATAGTTTAATTTGTAGTTTTCCTTTACATTTCTCATTTTTACTGTCTTCTCTCATTTGTGTATGTCCCGCTGTTATCACTTCATTGTTTTGCATTGTTTGTTTGCAGTGATAAACCAGGGAACCATGATTTCGATGTCCTAAGAAAGCTCGTGCTTCCTGACGGCTCCACACTGAGGGCTAAACTACCCGGGAGGCCGACTAAAGACTGCATGTTTTCAGATCCCACTAGAGATGGAAAAAGGTATGAAAAAGTGTAAAAAGTTGATGGCATGGGAAGCTACTGGTTCCATCAAAGGTACAAGATAGAGTCCATGATTGATATTTGACTTTTTGTTTGGCTTTTTGTGGCAGTCTTCTGAAAATTTGGAATATGAATGATTTTAGTGGAGTCATTGGGGTTTTCAACTGTCAAGGGGCTTCTTGGAGCCGGGAGACTATAAAATATATGATCCATGATCAACAACCCGAGACAATCTCTGGTGTTGTTCGAGCAACAGATGTTCCACATCTCGGAAGCATTGTTGAAAGCGGATGGAATGGAGATTGCATTATGTATTCTCACAGAGAGGGTACCTTTCCTTTATCTGTCCTGAATACTTTTAATGAAAAAAGACCTATTTATATTCACATTATCAAATAGTAAATTAGAGTGTGTATGTTTCCTCTTTGGATGCGTCCGTGTCATGTTATATCTAATAAGAACCCCAATCTTTTATGAGCAAAATTACATATTAAATATGTGGTTGGTTTTTAACTTCTTGAAATTAGAAGTGAAATGAGTAACTTTTTGAATCTTGCCAATGATCACTGCAGGGAAACTCGCATATGTCCCGGATAAGACAACACTACCTGTGCAACTGAAAGCTCGTGAATACGAAGTATTTACAGTTGTTCCGGCCAAGCGGTTGTCCAATGGGGCAGCATTTGCTCCAATAGGTCTCCTCAAGATGTTCAATTCTGGCGGAGCCATAAAACAGGTGAAGTACGAAACCGAGAAAACTGGGTGCGTTGATCTCAAGGTTGTTGGGTGTGGTACGTTTGGAGCATATTTGTCTGTGATGCCTAAGAAGATAGTAATTGACGGGAAAGATGAGGTTTTCGAGTATGAGGAGAACTCGGGGTTCATAACTGTCACTTTAGGGGTTCCGGAGGAAGAATTATACCAGTGGAAACTGACAATTGAACTTTGAGCATCTCATTGAATTAGTAATGTGTTATGCATATTGTTTATCGATCTGAATTAATGATAAAATGGTAATAGTGCTCACATGGATTACCATTAAAGCCGTACAACAATTTTCATTTTCTTAAGCTCAGACCTGTTGTATTCTATGAAGAACGTTGTTGATATACATATTCAATTCTATCAAAATAAATCATAACGCAGCAGAATCTATAGTTAGGATCAAGACTTACTGTTTAAAATTTGTCGACTTTGAGATGACTGACACAGCCTACGGGGTTGGACGAACGATTCTGAGACGCGTCCTTAAACCCTCGTTTCTCGTTGCTTCTCGCCAAGTCTCCGAGTCGCCTGGTTTAGGGGTGACCATGTGTCGGTACGATTTGGAGATTGACAAATTTCCGAAACCGTACCGAAGTTCGGAGATTACTAAAATTCAATCTCTGGACTCGAACAAAACAATCTGTTCAGTTTGGATATATTCATTTTTTGGTTCAATTCTCGGGACTATCGGAACAGTTCAGTTCTGTTCGGAGATTTTTAATTAATCTTTTTTTAAAAAAAAAATGAATGGCCACCTAGTTATATTTTAATTTATATATTTTGTTTAAATCCAACATTTATCAATACTTTATCATACTAAAGATTTTATTTTTAAATCAACTAGAGAAAGTTTATTAAAAAATATCGGATTGCATAGAAATAGGGTTAATTTAAGTTGAATTTACATGACAATTTTGTAAAAAACAAAATTCTCTTATTTTTTATTTTAAAAAAATTGTTTACCATAAAATCGGGAATTTTAAATTAGGCAAAATACTATAACATGTGTATATTTACTTAATTGCAACATATCATATTTATTAAAAAAAAAAAATCAGTTTATTTTTTAAAAAATCCTTTATCATTTAAAATTAAATTTTAATAATCTTTTATCATTTTAAAAATCGGCCTCAGTTTCAAATTGAAAATTAAAATTTAAAAATAATTTATCATTTAACTACTACTACTTTCTTTAGTTTGAATTTTTTTTAAACATAAAAACAGAGTCAGATAATATTAATTTGAAATTCAAAATGAAATGGGACTAGAACATCCTAAAAATTTGAGTTTTGTTTAATTAATTCTCTAGAATACAAATTTGAAATTGATTGCATACATTAATACAATTTACTATCTCCGTTATATTTGGATATGCAATCTTCATAAAACCGGTATAAATCATATCATATATATTCTGGTAAATAATTTAGTTGATTTATCTAACCATATCTAGAATCTTAATATAATTTGTGGATGTATCAAAAGACTAAACAAATAATACTGTGTACAAATATATGTTTAATAATATATAAATTACATTTAGTTTTATTCATAAAACATGTGTTTTACGTTCAATCATCCCATTATCCAAATCTAAATACTTATCTCGATAAAATTAGTCGGATACATGCACGGGTACATATGTAATATAACAACCAACAGTAATAGCGTTCAGATCTCTGAAGTCAGAAGTCAGAGAGCATTGACAATGGCGGACCAGCTTGATTCAAATCTATCATCCTAAATCTAGAGGGTCGTCTTCTTCCCGTTATTTTAATCCCAGCTTCCAAATCTGTTTGTTTGCAAGGGCGACCAACATTTTGCATCAATGGGAGCAGCAGACTCAAATGAGCCCATCCCTTTACTGCAACTTGGCCTTCCGTCGCCGCCCGTCGACGATGACTTGGTTGACTCCGAACTTCCGGCCAAAGCCGCCCCCAATCGAACCGGTTTTCCTTTTTCTCTTTTGTTCATCTATCACTATTCAATGTTGTATTTTTTGCCCCTCGGCGTTTTCCGAAGCCATTGTGTTCATTATAGGAAAAATTGGGATTGTGAAGGGAATGCGTGGACGGCAGTGGCCCACATCATCACCGGCGTCATAGGGTCGGGGGTGCTGTCCCTGGCGTGGAGCATGGCGCAGCTGGGCTGGGTGTGGGGTCCACTCCTCATGCTGTTATTTGCCGCTGTTACTCTAGCATCCACCTTCCTCCTCTGCAGCTGCTACCGATCTCCGGATCCGGATTATGGTCCTGTTAGGAATGGATCTTATCTGGCTGCAGTTAAGCGGAATTTAGGTATGTTGGATTTACGTCCCATTTTTCGAAAAAACATGTAAATCTATTGTTATGTCTGTAGCTGATAATTTTGGTGGTGAAAGGCTAGTATCTGGAGATGGAGATGGTGTGTGTGTTCTGTTTTGCAGATTTGATCACAACTCATACAGTAATATCAAGCTTGTCTTAGTCGAAATGGAAATTAGAAACAAGTTTATATAATTTTAATGCTTCATTTGTAGGTGATATTTGGTAAATTTTTTGCAAGTTTAATGCTTTTCTTGCGTCGCAGGGAAGAAGAATGCATGGATATGCGCCCTGCTTATACAAATGAATCTCTATGGGACAGGAATAGCTTACACTATTACTACCGCTATCTGCATGAGGTCCGTTCGTACTAACATTGACTCGTATTTCGCTCCATTAATTAATCATTGGTATTTTGAATGCCTGTCGTAACTTTTCACATTTGAGCTCTTGGTGAGTTTGATGTTCCACCAATTATGAGGAAAAAAAAAAAATATGTCCGTCTTTTATGATGCACAGAGCAATCCGGAGATCAAGCTGTTATAGAAAGGATGGAGAAGATGACCGTTGCGAGTTCGGGAGCACACAGTACATGCTGATATTTGGCGTTGTTCAGATTTTCATGTCACAGATTCCCGATTTCCATAGCATGGAGTGGCTCTCTGTAGTTGCCGCTATCATGTCCTTAGCCTATTCTACAATTGGATTGGGCCTTGGAGCTGCAAAAGTCGTGGGTACAGTTCTCAATTCGGTCAGAGGAAATAAAAAGACATCTAACATACGAAAAGATCATATACATCATAAGTCTCCTGATTTTTTATTTCCTTTTTTTTTTTCCTTTTCTTTTCCAGGAAGTAGAGTGATTAAGGGTAGTGTAGGTGGAGTTTCAGCTTCGAATACAATGCAGAAGTTGTGGAGAGTATCTCAAGCAGTTGGGGACATTGCTTTTGCATATCCATACTCCATGATTGTTCTAGAAATACAGGTAAAAGGAATTTTCTTTCTTTAAAATACAGTGTATGTCTAGAAAGACTAATCAAATTTATGATGTCTTTTTTTTTAAAAAATACAGTGTATGTCTAGAAAGACTAATCAAATTTATGATGCCTTTTTTCTAAAACTACAGTGTATGTCTAGAAAGACTAATCAAATTTATGATGGCTGAAATTTGAAGGATACATTAAGATCACCTCCATCCGAGAGGGAGACCATGAACAAGGCATCATTAATATCTACCTGTATCACCACATTTTTTTATTTAAGCTGTGGCGGCTTTGGGTATGCGGCGTTTGGTGATCAAACACCGGGGGACCTCTTGACTGGATTTGCGAACTATGGATCCCACTGGGTAATCGACTTTGCGAATGCCTGCGTCGTTGTACACTTGATCGGGGGGTATCAGGTAAATAATGATAAATCTGAAATTAGTCCAATCAAGATTCCCCACTTTCAACTCATAAACCAGAATCGGCGGCTCATGTACTTGAAACTTAAAGACGTTCGTAAATGGAAACTAAAATTTGAACAATTGAAATGAAGTGTTTGATGGTTAGGTCGTACGTAATGAAATGAAAAAATAATTTTCCCTTTCAGCATGTAGATAATAGTTTGTGCACTAAGTATGAAATTCCCTCCTTACGGACTTAACATTTACTTCCAACTTGCGTTAATCAGGTCTATTCTCAGCCAGTGTTTGCCATGGTGGATAAATGGCTGGCTGACCGGTTCCCGTGCAGCTCCTTCGTCAACAGAAACTATACTCTCAAATTCCCGTTATTACCACCTTTGAGTTTAAATCTCGAGAGATTGTGCTTCCGGACGGCTTATGTTGCATCAACAACTGGAGTCGCTATGGTTTTCCCGTATTTCAATCAGGTTTTGGGGCTTTTGGGGACCATAAACTTTTGGCCACTGTCCATATATTTTCCTGTGGAGATGTGGTTGAGACAGAAAGATTTAAAACCATGGACTATAAAGTGGGTCGTTTTAAGGAGTTTTAGCATTGTTTGCTTTGTTATAAACATGTTCGTTTTCGCTGGATCCATTGAAGGAATTGTGGCTGCTCGTTTCAGCTAGGACCTTTTCACACAGAGTAATGGACTAACAATACTACATTTCTTATACTAGTACTAGGAAAGAAAGACCCTTAGCTACTATGAAGTGGAAGTGTGTAACATGCTTGTAATAGTTTTTATTTTATCAACTTACACATTAAGGATTCGTTTGGTTGGGAAGGCGTTTTGGCCACTGTGAATTAACCCTTGCATTTCTTTCTTTTTTTTTAAAAAAAAAAAACGAAACGATAATGTAATACGTTGGAAAACCATAATAACATATGAACTCATCTTCAGTAGTCTGCCGCTCCGGCCATGGAGTTGCTGGCGAAGGCGTCGGCGATGCCACCCATTTTGTGCCAGCGAGATCTCGACGGGGCTTTTTTAGTTCGACAGCAGCTAAGATGGGACCCATCTTGGGCTCCTCTCTTTAGCTTGTGGTCGGAAATTGCATTGTCGCAGCTGAGGGGGTGGTGATGGCGGTCTTCCCTTCCGGTCGTTGTCCCATTTTGGCCGCTTAGACTGAAGTTGGATCCGGTTTCATTTTCTCAAATCTATGAGTCAATAGCCGCCGGGAGTGTTGGAGTTCCTAGATTCGAGATCCTTGCTTCTGTTGTACGACTTCTCTTCGTTGGTCGTCCTGGGGGTCGATGCTTCTTAGTGTAGTGCGTCGTGCTCATTGATAGTCAGGGAGGGTCTTAGTTTAAGTTTTATGTTTTTTGTGTTGTTTGTTTGTCCCTTTTTTTTTTCTTTTTTTGTGTGTTTGTGATTTTTTTTTTTTTTTTTTTTTTTTTTTTTTTT